TCAATAAGTAGAAGTGAGTTAACCTGTTTATGGCATCAATAGTGCTTTTGAAAGCACAAAAGATTTTTTTCTCCCTGCGCTTGTACAGTAATTCTTAATTAATTTGGAAACTTGAAAAAGTTACTTTCACTTTGTTGTCATGTCTAAAAAAAGAAAGAAGAGTTAGCAGTTTAAAATTTCTCACTGACTTTAAAAATAGTCCGTGTAATTTTGTATAAAGTTCCAAATACATTTCCTTTTTTTTTTGATGTAATAAGAAAAAAAAGGTTGAAAAGTTCTCTTTACGGCAGAAAAACATCGAAAATATCTGTATCTTCCAAATCTGTCAAGTTAAACAATTTGAAATCTGTTCTTTTGCATGTTTGTTGTTTGAATATAACATTACTAACTTGTGCGTAAAATGAGGGTACTTCACAAATTTCCTGGAAATATTCGTATTATCTTTTTTTTTTCCCCCTTTTTTTTGTCTTTTTTTTTTTTTTTTTTCGTGACCGGTAACGGGATCGCAACCCTCAGTGTCACGCCCGTACCGCGACCGGCAACGGGATCGCAACCCTTGGTGTTGCGCCCGCACCGCGCTCAACCAGTGAGCGGACCGGTCTCTATATGGGATCCGAGCCCTTGGTGGGAGCGCCGCCACGCTCCCAAGCGCCGCACTCTACCGAGTGCGCCACCGGGCTGGCCCCATATTATCTTTTAATACTGTTTATCCACAAACATTTTGAGGTACCCTTGTATGTGATTAACTTGTTGAATTTGCAGTAATTGTTGCACTTTTTAGTGATGCCATGAAATTCTGCTTCAGTAAACATTAGGATATAAAATTAAAAGATATTCAAGGTGTTTTGGGGTGAAGAGTTGCAAAATAAATCTGAAGAATTATAAAAATGGTATGAATCAAGATTTAAGGTTGTTTTAAAGTGTATAATGAATACTTTCTAAAGATGAAAACTTTATCAATTGAGGGAAGATGTACATTAAATACTTTAAATGAAATAATGTTATAGAAGCCTTTTACTCTGTCTAAATACTTTATTAATTTAAAAAATTCTCATTTAGAAATAATGATACATATTTGACTACTGTGTGAATGGTGCACAGTAAGTATAAGAGTACTTCAAAAAGTTTGTAAAATAATAGAATTAAGAGATGATAAATATCTTTTCATGAACTTTTTGAAGTACCCTTGGTCACTAATCACAGGATTCTGTGGTTGGTTTGAGTATTTTAAGGAGGAAAACTAGAACAAGAAAGATAACTTGAACTGTCTCAAAGAAATATTAACACTAGATCACAAACTGCGTTGTTAAGTTTCTGCATTTTTGTAGCTCCGGGATTTTGATAACATTTCCTGGCTGATTTTAGGTATTTTAGTAGTCACACACTTCACATTGAAGAGACCCACCAGAACCGCATAAAACTCCAACATTATCTTTTGGTTTCCAGTATTATCTTGTCTTGCCCGTAATGAAAACTTTCAGTTGTATAGCTTTTATGACATCTGTGATTTAATGTATGGAAAACAGAATTATGTAAGTATTTAATATCATCAACATTTTTCTTTTAGAGTATCTGCAATGGTGAAATGAAGTAACTCAAAGATGAGCAAGTTAAAAGTCATATCAGAGAAAAGGTACTGTAATTCTAAAAATCAATATGTGTAAATTATGGAAATAATACATGACAAAATGACTTGAGGTTCATACTTTAAAAATATTATTTATGTTTAAATAGTAGTATATTATATTACTGCTATTTTATTAATATTTATTAATGTTTAACTTTCCAGTTAAGGTAGGAGTCAGCAAACTATGACCCACAGGCCCAATCTGGCTGTCCTCTAATTTTTGTGTGGCCTGTGAGCTAAGAACGGCTTTTACATTTTTAAATGGTTAAAAAAATCAAAATAATAATATTTTGTGACACATGAAGATTATATGAATTTCACATTTCTGTGTACATAAAATTTTATTGGAACACAGCTATGCTCATTCGTTTACATATCATCTGTGGTCACACTTGCACTAAAATGGCAAAGTTGAGTCAGAGACTGTATAGCCCACAGTGCCTGAAATATATACTATCTGGCTTTTTACAGAAAAAGTTTAACTGACCCCTGAATTAAAAACCCATTATGTCATCTCTGTTACAGCTCTTAAGTGCTAAGAAGTTGTCTTAATGTTGGTTTTATTTCTTTCAGTTAAAACTCAGACAAATCTGATTAATTCTATATTGGAATTTTCTTAGCTATACAGCCTTTAACAGATTGTTTAATCCTGTTAAGCCTCACTTTTCTCATCTGTGAAATTGTTTTAATGATAATGCTGTCTTTATAAGGTTGCGAAGATTAAATGGTGCCTGACTGGCTCAGTAAATGACAGTATATTAATACTGATAGTAACCAAAGTTTCTGCTGTGTAGCAGTGTTATATTTTATGTTTTTATGTGTACAGTTTTGCATTTATACATATGATTTAAATCTGTTTTATAATGATTAGTATACACACAGTTTATTCAGAAAAAGTTTGTTTCTTACATTGCTAGGTTTTCCAGTTATTAACTATGTAATACATCATAACAAATTGCATTGTTCATATACTTGTGTAATTTCTTATAGGAGAGAAATTAGGCATTGTTTGGGTTTTAAAAAGGAACAGCAGCCTTACTTTTTGGATCAGGCCAAACAAGTACAGTAGTTTCCCCTTATTCATAGGGGGTTCTAAGATCCCCTGTAGATGCCTAAAACTGCGGGTAGTAACTAACCCCATATACACTGTACACCACAGTCGATCTGATAACCACGATGGCTACTAAGATTTTTCACAGAATCCGACATCTATATTGGATAAAAACTCCCAGCAAAATGGAATGGGGAAGTATTCCCTCCTTTTTACATTTTTTTGGAAGAGTTTGTTTATAATCGGTATTATTCTTTAAATGTTTGGTAATTTTCACCAGTTAAGCCATCTTGGCTTGGAATATTCTTTGTGGGAAGCTTTTTAAGTATAAATTTGCTTTTTTAAATAGATATAGCACTATTCAGGTTTTTCTGTTTCTTATTGAGTGAGCTTTGGTAATATGAGTCTATGGTAGGCTGAATATAATGGCCCTTAGAAGATTTCTACTTCTTAATCCCTAGAATTTGTGAATATGTTACTTTACTTGGTAAAAGGAACTTTGCATATGTGAATAAATTAAGGATCTTGAGATGGGGAGATTATGCTGGATTATCTGAATGGGTCCATTATAATCATAAGGGGGAAGCAGGAGAGTCAGTGTCAGTAGTAGAAGATGTGATGATGGAGCAAGAGGTTAGAGTGCAGGAGCCAAGGATCGTCGGTGGCCTCTAGAAACTGTAAAAGGTAAAGAAATGGATTCTCCCTTAGAGCCTCCAGAAGAACCATCCCTTCTTACACCTTGATTTTAGCTTAATAAAACTGATGTTGGACTTCTGACTTCTAGACTGGTAAGAAAATAAATTTGTGTTGTTTTTAGCAACTAAGTTTGTGGTTATGGTTGTAGCAGCAATCAGAAATGAGTAGTATCTGTCAAGGAATTTGTTCATTTCTTCTGTGTTGTCCAATTTATAGGCATAAAGATGTTCAAAATATTCCTTTATTATCTTTTTAATATCTAGAATCCGTAGTGATGTTACCTCTCTCTGTCTTGATATTAGTAATTTGTGTCTTTTCTCTCTCTTCTTTATCAGTCTGGCTCAAAGTTTAAGTTTTATTGTTATTATCAAAGAAAAAGCTTTTGATTTCATTGATTTTCCTATGATTGTTCTGTTGTCTGTTTCTTTGATTTTATTTCCTGACTTCTATTTACACTGTCTCATCTCCTCTTTTTTCTTGTTTCTTAAGTTGGAAGCTAAAGTCATTTATTAGAGACATTTCTTCTTTAATAATGTGGGCATTTATTGTATAAATTTACCCCTAAATAATGCCTTAGTGACACTGACACTAATTCTGAAATGTTGTATTTTCATTCAGTTCAAAATACCTTCTTATTTCTTCTTTGATCTGTGGATTATTTAGAAGTGTGTTATTTAGTTTCTACTACGGTTTGAATGTTTGTCCCCTCCAAAATGTATGTTGAAATTTAATCCCTAATGTGGCAGGCAGTATTGAGAGCTGGGGTCTTTAAGAAGTGGTTGGGTTAATAGGATTAATAGGTTAATGGATTAATGGGCATTGGGACTGGTGGCTTTAGAATAAGAGGAAGAGAGTCCTGAGCTAGCATGTTAGCATGCTTAGCCCCTTCCTTGTGTGATGCGCTGCACTGCCTCTAGACTCTTCAGAGAGTCCTCACCAGCAAAAAGGCCCTCACCAGATCTGCTTCCTGTTCCTCGGACTTCCCAGCCTCCAGAACTGTAAGAAATAAATTATTTTTCATTTAAAAAAATTATTTATTTATTTTTATTTTTTACATTCTAAGATCTTGTGGAACAGTGGGAGGGGGAGGAGAGGAGGGGGAATGGAGGTCGGGGTGGGGGGGTAGGGCTGGCCCATGGCCTGCTGCTTTGCTGGCCTGGTTGCGGAGGGCAAGGGTATGTGTCTGAGGCCCTCACCCATCCCCCCCTCTCCCCCCGGCTCTGGAGCCTGGAGGGCTTCTTGCAACAGATTGATCATTGCTGGGCTGGATGCAGATGTTGGGGGGCATGGCTGAGGCCAGAGGTCCTCCACCCTGGCTTGGGAGCCTGGGGGGCTTCCGGCAGCAGTGTGGCTGTCACTGAGCTGGATGTGGAAGTTGAAGAGGCTTCTTCAGAGGCTTGGTCATCACTGGGCTGGATGCGGATGTCAGGGAGGCTTGGCTGAGGCCCTGGGACCACCAACCCCAGCTCGGGAGCCTGGGGACTTCGTCTGGTAGCTTGGTCATCTCTGGGCTGGATAAGCATGTTGGGGGAGGGCATGGCTGAGGTCCTTAGCCCCCTTCACCTTGGCTCAGGAGCCCAGGGGGCACATCCGCCTTGGCCGTACAGCAGGTCTGTACTCATCTGTAGATTTGAGGGGGGGGCGCTCTGTAGATCTCTGGAGTTCTCTCTCTGTGTAGCTCTCTCTTCTGTGCTAGTCTCTCCTTCAAATTCTAGCCACCTTGGTCTTTCTTTGTCTCCTTAACTCAAGGAGTTTGTTGGGTCTGCCTGGGTTCTCCCTACATTACCTGGAACTCTGAAGGCTGGAAGCTGGGACAGTTGTTGGGGTCACCTTGTTTATTTTCTGTCTTTCATCTTTGCATCGTATGGAAGTCAAGGTCACTGTTAGTTTTGAGTTGATAATCCAATGAATTTTTTTTTTTTTTGCTTCTATCTTATTTAACCTCCAAGTAGCAATTGACATTTCTTTTAGAACCCCCCTCCCTGCCTTTTGAAACATTCTTTAATTGGTTTCTGTGGTACTGCTGTCTCTTGTTTTTCTTCCTACTTCATTGGCAAGTGCTTCTAAATCTACTTATGGAATGACTTCTCTGTAGAACTTCTAATCATTTTTCAGGGCTCAGTCCTAAACCTTTTTTCATCTTATCCTATATAATCCCCTTAGGCAATTTCATCTGAGTCCTGTTGATCTCCGTCTCATTTGTAGTGGAGACCAGCCCCTCTGTGTCTAAATACCTATTGGGTGTAGTCATCTGGAAGTCTGTCAGTGCTCTTCAACATAATGTGTTCCCCAAATTGAGCCTTTGCAAATCTTTTCATTGTCTAGCGTTAGTCTGTCTTAGATGATGACATTCTAGCCATGCACAAGTGCAAACTGTAAATCTGGGAGTCTTCCTTGACACTCGTGTTAGCACTCCACAACCCGGCTGTCAGTGAATTCTGTCCGTTTTATGTCCATCACTAAAAGTATATCACTAATCTATGTGTTTCTCCATGTCTGCTGTTGCTGCCATGACTAGGCTTTCATCATCCATCCTGTAGACTACTGTAATAGTCTCCGTACTTATTCCTCTTCGTCTATTCCTGATTCTTTTGTTTAATCTAGCCCCTTCACAAGAGCCCTTTAAAAATTGTGTAATTAATATGTGTTTTCCCCATCTCCTCCTGGAAATTATTTAACAAAAACAAAAGAAAAATCTCAAAAAAACTAGTAACACTAAACAATGCAATACTTTGGAAAATTCAGTTTTTGGCCAAATTAGGGAATATTATCTGCAAACTCAGAAATATATGTAAGGGCTGCCAAATGCAGCTGGGACACTGTGCTGAAGCCATTTGGGAGGAAGTGAAGAAAAGTACAGAGAGGGATTGGAGGGTCCAGAATAGAGATCTCAGAAAACTCCAGCAAGAATATACTTGCTGAAGGTTTGGAGTGGACTCCTGCAACAATTTTATAACCCACTGTAACTGGGTTATGCAGGAGTAGGAGCAGAAACTTTCCTGGAAGGATTGGTTCAGACAAGCAGAGCAGGTGAGCTATTCAGCAATTATATAAATAAATAGTATTTATCCAAAGTAGTCTGTCTCGGTGGCAGCAAAGGAGAGACCCATAGAATTGTGAGACCTACCTGGCCTGGAAAACTAGCCTGGCCTTCCTCCACTTCCTATCTTTCTTATAGGAGCTTGTACAAATTACTGGGGAAGGAAAAGTCAGCTTATTCAATGAGTAATAAACAGTTACTATAAGAAAAAGGGAGAAA